ATAGTCAGGGGTGGGTTCAACTTGGACTTTCAAAATGGTGGACCTTATTATCCACTAATCAAAGCATTCTTAGTATGTTAGTTATTGTAATGGTATTATTAGAGTACAGTGGTAAATTATGCTGCTGCTGATGTTAGACAGTAATTCTGTCCAGCAGGTTCAGACACATGTCCTCCTGACACCCCCTTAGAGTTCTCTATGACATCACTCTCTGGCTCCACAGTCCTTACTCCTTACGCCAATGATGAACTCATTCATATTGATTCATGACATTAGCATTTTCCTCAGATAGATTAACATTTCCTTTCGACACAAACAAAGGCATCAAGAGAGAGGGAGCAGATGAATCAGATGGCATGGGGAGTGTGGGCTGAACTGTCTCAAAGGGAGGACAGGTCAGCATTTGTTACACGCCTGAGCTGGGAGGGCTGAGCTGGAGAGGGGAGAGGAGGGAGAGAGGGCCTTGAAAGAGAGGTGGCAGAGAAAGTTCATTAGAGTTGTATTGCTTATCTGAGATGATGAGGTTCATGGTTTAGGTCTGCAACTATCACACACGCTCGCACGTAGGTGTACACACACACTCATGCGTCATGTACACATTCACAGGCATGTACAGTAGCACACACACAAACACACATGCACACAGCCCTAATGGAGGCTGCCAGGTAACATTGAGGCCTTGAAATGCAAATGTCCTGAAAGACAAAGGCCATGCATATTTCATGGAAAACAAGGCACCTTAGTTTCTATTGTGTGACAGTGAGCACTTATAATCTGTGTTTTTTTAATACGATTCAAATTTTGTGGCCCCCCTTTCACCCTGCATTTGTATCAGAAGTCTGATAGCACTATGTTGTTTTAAGAGCATCTGCTAAATAAACTAAATATAATTTATGTGTAAAAATTTTGATAAATACTTTGTTGAGGGAAATGTACTTGATACAATTGTGATATGTTGTTGTCTCACCTAGCTATCTTAAGATGAATGCACTAATTGTAAGTCGGTCTGGATAAGAGCGTCTGCTAAATGACAAATGTAAATATGAACAATTGCAAAGCATGCTGAGTATTGTTCTAATGAGCTCCGCCCCAAAACAAGGCGAAAAAGAATGCTTTACGGTTCATTTTGATATGTTCAATTTCACATATACATTAACATTTTGTTCATTTAGCAGACACTCTTATCCAGAGTGCCTTGGTCAACTAAAGTAGATAAACCACATTTCACAGTCATAGCAAGAAACATGCTTTTGTAACCCTTACTGAGAATGTTGTTGCTGTTCGGGCTGGCTATATGCACATTTAGTTTTGTATATTAAAATACAAAAAACATATATTTTAATTAAATACATTACAAAATACAATACATTACAAAATACATTGATCTTTATGGTGTTTTGTATCTGTATTTTGTAATTGTAGATTGTAATTTTTGCCGATCCCTGGCTGTAGCCGTATTGGACACAGATGCCACCTCTGTCCTGAAGATATTCAGCTGCACTACTGGGGAGCAGAGAAGAATTCAGATGCAGCATTTTCTGGTTTAATTAATGTAAGATTCTGTAAGGATCAAAACGTAACAGATTATTTCAGGTCACAGAGTTTGTCGCAGCGAGACGCAATGTTTAGTCTCAGTGAAGTTATTTGTTTGTGGATTTAATTATGAAGCTGTTGGCCCAGGAAACAGCTTGTGTGTGTGTTTCTGTGCATGTCGTGCCGTTTAAGATGAGGGAGGATGATAAAAAAATGTATGAGCTGCCTTATATCTATTACAGCATATTGGATGACTGTCATTCATATTCCATTCACCCAGCTCAATGTAACATCGATAGGTTTAGGCTACTACATGATACTCTAATTTTCCCTGTACCCATCATGAGGCTGCTACAACCTAGCCTATGAATGAAAGTTTACAACGTAGGTGCACAGGTCGAGATAATTTTGAGTAATCAAGGTGACAGACAGTGACACGTTCAATACCGCCTCGCACACTCTTGCCTGCATCTAGCTGATCTAGGGTGTAATCATTAGTCCAAAAGTTGCAAATGAGAGTTTCTATTGGACAAATTCAGCTTGCCTCCTCTCTATTTGAGCAGGGTGTTTGAGTAGGCAAAACTAGCTAGCTAGCTCCATTCACTAGTTAAGTGAAAGTTTAAAAAAAGAATACAACCAAATAAATCTCTCTCTCTCTCTCTCTTCTCCTTAATTTTGGAAGAAATACATTTGTTCAAAATTGTTCAACTATCATTTTTTTCTCTGTTTGAGTCAACTACTTAACACATTTTATGCACTGCAGTGCTAGCTAGCTATAGCTTATGCGTTCGGTACTCATTCTCTGATCCTTTGATTGGGTGGACAACATGTCAGTTCATGCTGCAAGAGCTCTGATAGGTTGGAGGACGTCCTCCGGAAGTTGTCATAATTACTGTGTAAGTCTATGGAAGGGGGTGAAAACCATGAGCCTCCTAGGTTTTGTATTGAAGTAAATGTACCCAGAGGAGGTAACACCATGGTGCTACCCTACAGAGTGCTGCTGAGGCTACTGTAGACCTTCATTGCAAAACAGTGTGTTTTAATAAATTATTTGGTGACATTTAGCATAGTTTTATCTAAAAAGGATAACTTTTTTCATGTTTCACTATTTTTATTTTTATTAAATTCACTGAGGAGGATGGTCCTCCCCTTCCTCCTCTGAGGAGCAGACGTGCATGTATGTGTGTTTGTGCACATTCGTGGGTATGCAGTGGTGTAAAGTACTTAAGTAAAAATACTTTAAAGTACTACTTAAGTAGTTATTGTGGGGATCTGTACTTTACTTTACTATTTATATTTTTGCCAACTTTTACTTTTACTTCACTACATTCCTAAAGAAGATTTTCCCTGACACCCAAAAGTACATTTTGGCAGGAAAATGGTCCAATTCACACACTTATCAAGAGAACATCCCTGGTCATCCCTACTGCCTCTGATCTGGCAGACTCACTAAACACAAATGCTTTGTTTGTAAATTATGTCTGAGTGTTGGAGTGTGCCCCTGGCTATCCGTCAATTAAAAAAAAAAAAAAAAAATTGTGCCGTCTGGTTTGCTTAATATAAGGAATTTGAAATGGTTTATACTTTTACTTATACTTTTGATACTTAAGTACATTTGAGTAATTCCATTTACTTTTGATACTTAAGTATATTTAAAACCAAATACTTTTAGACTTTTACTCAAGTAGTATTTTACTGGGTGACTTTACCTTTTACTTGAGTCATTTTCTATTAAGGTATCTTAACTTTTACTCAAGTATGACAATTGAGTACTTTTTCCACCACTGTGGGTATGTGTGTTTGTGCACATTCGTGTGTGTGTGTATTTAACGGGACACAGAGGGTGGTGTTCAGTGTGCAGTTTGCGTTCTGGTTACACAGCTGTGATCCTACTGACTACATAAACAATCAACACTCACAAACACACAGTGATAATGGGGACCATCTTCAAGCCAAATGAACGCCCATGGGCACTTGGATCATTCAGGGATACTGTTAGGATCTCATTAAAACTAACATGGCTCTATAGGTTATACAGAAATGTGAAGTTTGAAGAAGCCCTCTGCATTGTCCCTGCCACTGTGCACACAACCAGCTGGAACTGTTCACTCACCCATACTGGAGCCTTTTAGGGCCTTTGAGGGCTAACCCTATCAGACCACACTGTACTAGCGGATGGACAGAGATTCACAAAAACATAACAAAAACAGTGTTAGAGCAAGTAAATTCCATAACAACTGAGTTCTTTGAGAAATTCTCTTACCTACATTCTGGTGTTTTTTTTTTGTGAAGATTTTATCAATTTATCAAGTATCAATTTCAAAAGGATTGAGAGTGTCCTATTTTCTGGAATAATCTAATGTCTATAGTTCTGAGTTACTGTGGTAACATTACATCATACAAGCAGCTCACATCTGATTCCAAGCATCATTCCCATTCCAACGGCCACAGAGACCAGACTCAGCCCTGACGCAATCGATAAGGGGAGAGGATTCAGAGTGATACAGAGCACACCTTGGCCATTATTCCACATGAGGGAAAATTACTGGAGCATTTCATCTCAGCCATGAGAGAGAGGGAGAACAGAGGGCCTGGGACATCTTTAATTCATCCCACTGGTAAGTGCAGTCACAGTGGAGGGAGGAGGCTGCAGGTCCACTACTCTAGGTTAGAGGTTTCATACTGACTGGCCGCCACATCAACCACATCATGGTCTTCTCTACTGTACAGACCATCTCCAAGAAAGCACTTATATAGCCGTCAATAACAACTCTGGGCTGAGCACAGCTGAATACACAGCTTTCATGTAGAACCCTGATACACCTCTCTTCTTAGACACAGCGTATAGTTGCAGTAAGGAGTAAGTGCTTATTGATACTGTGGAGAGGACATGCACACACACACACACACACACACACAGATGTCCATGCACGGACACAGGCATGCAAGCACGCACACACACACAGGTTGCCAGCTGTCAACTACGCCTGCTCTCCAAAATCCGTTAGCTGTTGCTGCCCTCTGCTGCTCTATTATAGTAATTGCAATGGAGGCAAAGTTATGAGCTGTTATGAGAACCTTTTCAAATACAGTAAAGTCAGTAGTAGTAATTTGTTAGGCAAAAACAAGGAATTCAATACTTATAAAGTGCAATAATTCTATGTGAAACAGATAAAGACACATGTGTGTATTTGCTGTAATTTCCTTTCTCAAACATAAATTGTGAAAAACCTTTAGAACAGAAGAATCACAGTCAATTTTGCCATTGAATTGTAGTTTAAACCTGGTCAGGAACCACAAACTGTACAATACTTGTGCAAAATATGCATCACATTAATCAGTGTTGGTATGGCCTTGGGAGTTACAGGAATTCTGGACCATATACATTGGAACATATACAGTACATTTATGAGTGTAGATAGATGTATTAGGTTTAGATTCATGAGTTAGTTTGGATGATATCAGTCTTAAGGACAGGGTTTGGCATCTACGACAGGCTCACAGCGGTCCACCACGGCCCGGATCTCGCCGATCTGAATGCCATCGTACACCCCAGAGATGGAGGTCCACTGGGTCTCTCCGTTGCGGTATGTACGGCTCAGTCTGGCTGTGAAGGGGATGTCTGCGGTGATCTTGCGGCCCTCCATGCGCACGGTACAGGAGTGGTTGGGTGGCACCTTGAGCTCCACAGACACAGAGTGGCTGAGGGCCTCCACCATGGTGGTGCCCCTGTTGAACTGCAGGGTCTTCTCCCCACTGAACTCAACCCCTGCAGAGCCGATTAGGGGGATCTTGGCTGTGATGCCGGCAGTGATGCCCAGCATGGTGGTGCGTCCGATGTTCCAGGTGCTCTCCACCTCTGAGGTCTTGGAGATGGTCACCGTCTTCACTACCGTCTGGCACTCGTTGTTGGTTACGCCAGAGAGGCGCATGGTCTCAGGGGGGTAGTGGAACATTTCCACCTCATCAATGCCATACTTGACATGGGAGATGTGCTGGGTGTAGGCGTCTCTGTTGATGGCCAGGACCTGGTAGCTCTTGTACCAGTACTCATCACCCTCCCAGGGCAGGAAGAAGGCTTTGAACTGAGGGACCACCTTCCCCAAGCCATACTTGTTCTTCCCAGCATAGATGCCCACTCCAGAGCATGTTCTAACTGAGTGTTCGGGCACCGAGCCATGCGAGTCCTCCTTCCATTCCACAAACTCAAAGTTGTCTCTGTTGGTCAGGATCTCGAACTCTGGGGCGTAGTACTCTCTCTCACCGTAGGGGTATTGGCAGTATGGGCCCTTGCTAGGAGTGTAGAAGCCGGCTTCGCAGATGTATTTGCAGATGTAGTCGGTGCGTTTGGTGTAGCCGTTGTAGATGCCCACAGCTGCAGTTGGGAGAGAACCATTCCAGCCCAGCCACTGCAGGTTGACATTGTCCCCGAACATGAATGGAGCAGGTTTCTGTTGGTCCTTAAACTCAGGAGGGTTCAGTGGGCCCTGGACTGGACCATTACTGGACAGTGGGGGGACCCTTCCTTCCAGCACTGGGTTCAACAGGGACACTAGAAGACAAAGAATACACTGGACATGTCCGAATACCAATACTTTAGTCCTAAATAGTAGGCCATTTTTGTTTAATAGTATGCGACATTTTGAAAATCGAGTATACTTTAAATGCCTGCATGTCATACTCATTTCGGCTTTGATCAATTAGATATGGGGATGCGCTACCGAAATCAATGAATATCGAGAAACAACGCACTCGCACATGACACATTTTCAGTATGTGAAAATATAATATTTTATAGTATGTGAATTTTTGAAAATCGAGTATAGTTTAAATGCCTACTCATTTCAGCTCTTCATCTAGTAGAATTCGATGCACACTTTTCCACAATGCATTGGAAGAGGTGGGCTGCGAGTGATAGACCCTAGTTCTCTTAAAGTAGCCAAACAACATAATTAAGCTACTTCATTGGGAAGATGCCAAATAGCGAAGCTTCTGCGGTGGTGTTCAAATGTAGGACAAGTAGTTTTTGTTCTCCTTAATATGATCACGAGTATTACATCATAGGCTACATCTTTGAAAACAGAAGTCTTTTTTATTTTTTTTATTTTTTAAAAGTGGATTCCTGTTTTCTCATTGAAAAGTGTTTCTTGTTCTCTTGGCCTTCGTCAGGGCTTTTAAACTAGTATGAAAAATGTATGCACTCACTAAAACTTTAAGTCGCTCTGGATAAGAGCGTCTGCTAAATGACTAAAATGTAAATGTAAATGTAAACTAAATACTAAACCACCTTTTGATTTCTGAATGTGTCAGCACCAGGGACTCGGGATGTGGCTGCGTTATTGATGTCATGTTAATCAGGCCTTTTGATTTGAACATATGGATTGTTTTAGTTTGTAGGCTACCTAATTTCATTTATGGATCAAACATTAGCAGTCATTCTGATCTCGTTCCCAATGATCAGGGCTTTAGTTTATTATGTTGCTGTCCAGCAGTTCTGAATTTGCGATGCACCCGGCTGTCCACGTTTTTCTGTGCAATAGCCTTTTGATTTCAACATTTGAAACGTTTTGGTGTGTGTACTAGGTTATTTGATTTAATTTATCAAACCAAACCTAACTTTATTTATACAGCACATTTCAGACATGGAATGCAACATAGTGTGCTTCACAGGAAAAAACAAATAAAAACAATGAAAACTGAACAACTAAAAAGCACCCTAAGGAAAAGCAAAGCTAAAAAAGTGTTTTTTAAGATCTCTTTTAATTATGTCCACAGTTTCAGCCCCCCTAGGGTTCTCTGGCAGGCTATTCCAGAGGCTGGGGGCATGGCATAGTAACTAAAGGCTGCCTCTCCAGGCCTCTTGGTCCTAGGCTTTGGGATAGTTAAAAGGCCAGAGGACCTGAGGGGCCTACTGGGTACATAACTTAAAAGCATGTCTGACATGTATTGAGGTGCACAGTCGTGGATTGATTTAAAAACCAATAGAAGAATCTTAAAATTATTTCTAAAACTCACAGGCAGCCATGTGTCAACCAGGGAAAATAAATCCATAATGCCTTTGCGTGGTAGGCTAGGGCACATATTATCAAACTTCTCATCAGGTCTTGCTTGACTGATACCCAGCCTAATGTTTGTTATCTTATCTCTGAAATATGCCACAAACTAATCACATTTTGATGTGGAGGAAAGTTCATGTAGGTTGTGGGGGTTGAATTTGTCAGGCCATCAATGGTCGAGAAGAGCACTCTCGAATTATTCTGATTATTAGTGATCAAGTTAGAAAAATTAGCCCGTCTGGCATTTCTAATTGCCTTGTTATATATGCCAAGTAGCTCTCTCAGAATATCATAATGGAACTGCAACTTTGACTTTCTCCACTTCCGCTCTGCCTTTCTGCAATTTCTCTTTGATTTATTAGTTTCTTCACTCATCTAAGGGGCTCTCTGTTTGGATGTGGCCTTTTTCAACTTTACTGGAGCTATGGCATCAATGGTTGCCCTTAATTTGCGATTAAAGTTATCAACTAAATCATCACAAGAGGAAGGCAGAATAGGTGATGGAGTATTGTTCATACACTCAATCAAATCTGTAGCAACTTCAGAGGTAAGATAGTGTTTCTTAATTATGCTTTCAGTATTACCCTGTGCTATGGGCAAAAAGGTAGTAAAAAATACACAGTGGTGAACGGATAAAGCAACAGCAACAATAGAGGATATGTCAATTGGTAATAACCAGGTCCAGAGTATGGCCGCGGTTATGGGTGGGCCTTGTATCATGTTGGATAAAGTCCATGGAGCTCAAAATATTCATAAATGCAATGGCCTTGGAGTCAGTCTCTTTGTCAACATGAATATTAAAATCGCCTAACACAATGATTTTATCATAGTTCTCAAGGACAATAGACAATAGTTCAGAAATCAGTAAGGAAAGTGGAGCAGTGCTTTGGTGGCCTATGCAGGGTTATGGCCAGCACTGGTGGCTCACATTTAAACAGTATAGCATGATGCTCAAAAGACCCAAAGTTGCCAAATGAAATGTCCTTACAGCTGAGAGCATTAGTAAAAATAGAGTCTGTCCCCCCCCACCCTTTCAGATCAGATCTTCTCGGATAGATGGGTGGCCAGACTGCCTCCCTGATCTCCTAGGCCTTGTGAGTGTCCAGTCTCCCATGGGCCACGGAGTTAAGCTTAACATTTGTCCGTTGGATTAGGACAGATCAACGCCACCCGACTCATCAACAGCTTTGCTATAGGAGGCATTTAAAACGGATATTTGGTTTGCCTTTGGTTACAGCAAGGTCGGTGTACTTAGAAAGCAGGTTTTCCTTTTTCTCACAACCGAGCTAACAGCCGGAGGATCTCTTCCCTAAGATGCTTGATGGTGGTGCATTTAGGGCAGACAAATCCCTGTCCATTTTCCAGTTCCACCTTCTCTTCATCTTGTGATTGTGTGGAAATCATCTCACACGTGAAGCATTTGTGCTCAGCCATGGATAAAAACACTGGTGGGCTAGCACTGCTAGCATTAGCCTGCTCAATTTTCATGATGGCTAGCAGCTAACTGCTACTTAACAGGAATCCGGGAAACAAACTTGCGGTCCCAGACATAAAGGCTGACCGGGTCGCGGAACCAGTAGCAATACAAACTTTAGCTATGATTAAAAACGATTTAATGAAAACTATTACATAAAAACAACAAACCGCGTGTAGACAGTACACTGTTGCGCGCTCTGAAGACGTCTGTTGCACAATGACTTGGCTCCTATATGTTACACACTTTGGTTTCACTAATAAATATGTTGAAATGGAACCAAATTATCTGTTTCTGTCTGCAGTCCTTTTAAATAGGATAGATGGGCTATGTAGGCTATGTTATAGGTCGAATGCGATAGTCTGCCTATATACCAGCCTGAGTAGGCCAATAACGCCATTCCTATTCTATTCATAGTTAGAGAAATTAATCAAATTGGAAATGAGCTATTATCAGGCTGGTTAATGCAATGCATGTCTGTTAAATTTGGAGAAATCCACCCGCACATGGCCCCGCCCCACCCCACCTACTCAGCCAGTCAGGAGCCATTACTGCATTGCGGCCATGTCATACTGCATACTTTTTACTAAACGGTACATTCTAAATAGTAGTTGAGTACATAGTATGCAGTTTAAGTATGTAGTACGCTAGTATGGGTATTCGGACACGGGCACTGTCACAATATGCACCCATTACTGTTGTGTTGAAACAACTGACATTGAATGACTTTCTGAATGTTTTCTGTTTTCCTTTCTAAGAGATCGAACGCTGGGATTGATTGAATAAAAGGGGTGTATCAAATTAGAGAAGTACACAAATGTAGGCTAATTTACCCTTCTGTCTCAGTGAGCTCTTCCTCAATATGTCCTGGAGGCTGCCTGGAGGAGAGCCTGCATCCTGGGCACAGCACAGCCCCAGGTGCAGCAGGGAAATGACCACCAAGACTGACAGCTTCATCTGAGGAAGACCAGGAGGAATATTAGGAAACATTGAAGTACAATAGTGGTTATTACTATAGATATAACACTATAGTGTTACACAAATTCACATTAAATCAACATGACGTTGCATTTGAAATGTTGTGTTATAGAATATTCTTCCATAAGCTCCATTGAACAGCGACATTTTGTATCAGATTCTTAAATAGTGCCCTAAATGCACAAATAGAAGAGCCAGTGCACTCACCCTCACAGTCTTTACCCAGTGAGCAGTGAACCTGTTGATTCTCCAGGGTTATATAGCTAGCTCCTTTATGACACTCATAAATTGCAACACTCACTCTCTCAGGGCTTTGACATGATGCTACATTCTCTTCTTTTTATTATTGGTTCCATTATTACATTTTAGTCATTTAACAGACACTCTTATCCAGAGCGATTTATAGTTAGTGAGTGCATACATTTTTCATACTGGCCCCCCGTGGGAAACGAACCCACAACCCTGGCGTTGCAAGCGCCATGCTCTACCAACTGAGCTACAGGGGACTACATATCATAATCATCTGAAATGTATGAGCTAATCTCTCTCTCTTCTCTCTCCAGCCCCCACTCTCTTACGCCCTTGACAGCACCACACCATGACAATGTATTAGTGTTTGACAAAATAATGTAAATTGGAGTTAGCTTAGACACTAGAATATTTGTTTTGCCATCTTGTTGTTGTGCAGTTTTCTTTGGAAGACAAATTGCCCTGTCTTCTCACTCGTCACACAACCTATGAGAAGGGAAGAACAGACACATTGAAGATGAGGGATTATAAACATGATTACGCAAATAGAGTGATAACAGAGATACAGGTAAAAGGCTTCTAGGACAGAGCTGACTGTCCTGAAATATCAGTCTTATCTCAGTTCCCTTACCTTTCCTCAAAGTTGGTTAGGAAGCACAATTTAGTTGTGGGCATAATAGCATGATTCAATTCAATGGATCTTTATTGTCTCCGAAGGGTAACTTGTGCATTATTGATATACAGTTGAATGGCCGATAGGACAACAAGTGGGGTGATAAAGAATGATCAAAGACAGATTCTATCAATGTAAAGACCTTTATACTGTCTGTCCTATTTCATTATCTGCAGAGGAACATTGAACTAGCGTGATAAATAAATTGATAACAGCTATCTGTGTCAAGGACTTATAGAGGCGGCAGGTAGCTTAGTGGGTAAGAGAGTTGTGCCAGTAACCGAAAGGTCGCTGGTTCTAATCCCTGAGCCGACTAGGTGAAAAATCTGTCGATGTGCCCTTAAGCAAGGCACTTAACCGTAATTGCTCCTGTAAGTCGCTCTGGATAAGAGCGTATGCTAAATGACGTAAATGTAGAGACGGCCTTGGGATCATCAGTAAATTTGGCCAATCAGTACAAATCCAAGTTTTTGGCCTTCACCCGATAGGGTCAATAATATTATATCTGGGGGACTCTGAAGGATGTCTTTGTCTTTGCTTATCAAAGGAAAGCTTGTGATATCTCCAATAACAACCTCACTTGCTAGTCATCAGAATAGCACCGCCATCACACTAAGTTTCTTATCATAATCACAAAGCCTTTCTTATGCAATGTGTTTCTGTTATTTTACATTATACGTGATTTCTGGTAGATCGTGTACATTAATATAAAAAGCTCACATTCACTGCTGTAATGAGATAGAAAGGTATAATCTCAACCTATGATTATGTAAGCGAACACACTAAGCCCAGTGCATGACTTGCCTTAGACAACCACTGCAAGGGCACCAAAACAACATGGTAAAATGATTATACACACAAGGGCACTAGTCACATCTTTAATTAACTTTTTTCATCACTAAAACAATAAGCACTGTGCATTATAACTGTACAGTATAACTAAAATAAATGGTGAGGAAGCAGCAGCAAGAGACTCATATACAGTTAGAATACTAGGCCAAAGGGCATGGGGCCACTGTAACTCTGGCTGCTTTATTAGGGGAAATGATCCTGCAGGGAGGTTTAAAAAGCTGCAGGGGCTGCAGATCAAGCCACTGGAGGAGGAAACTGTCAAGGTAAAACAGCTTTCTTACATCTACCTACTGTATCAAAACATACTATTACTGTTAACTCTGTGCTGAATACCAATATCACGATTCCCTGTATTGTTAATCTGCTTTATGTAACATACAAATACAGTGACTAATGCTTTGATCAATGTAATTTCAAAAGTTCTAAGCTGGAGAGGCAGTTTTTGTGATTTCAGAACACAATTGTTTTAAGTAAATGACAGGCAAGCCCTAAAAATGGACATATTGTAAGAGTGTGATTTGAAGGAGTCAGGCGCAGGAGGGTAAATCACAGAATACAGAGTTTATTCCGTAGTACACAGTTACGCTAGATAGCGTCAACAGTCCAGTGTGCAAAACAGGCGCACTGGAACAAATACAGGCACACTGGAAAATATAACCCGGCAATACAAAGTACAGGTAGCTCCACCGAGCTACACTGAAACAATCACCCACAAGGACAAGGGGGCAGAGGGAACACTTCTACATGTACTAATGAGGGGAATATGAACCAGGTGTGTGTAATTGACAAGACAAGACAATTGGAATAATGAGATATGGAGCAGCAGTGGCTAGAAGGCCGGTGACGACGAACGCTGAAGCCTGCCCGAACAAGGAGGGGAGACAGCTTCGGAGGAAGTCATGACAGTCGTTAGGTTAGTGGAGGAGTGACGGAGAGAGTTCTGGGCATATTCGGCCCATGGCAAGAACACCGACCACTCCCCAGTCCTGGCAGTAGGACCACAGGAACCTACCCACATCCTGATTTACCCGTTCCACCTGCCCATTAGACTCGGGGTGGAAACCAGAGGTCAGGCTGACTGACACCCCCAGACGTTCCATGAACGCCTTCCAGACCTTGGATGTGAACTGGGGACCCCGGATCAGACACTATATCCTCTGGTACCCCGTAGTGCCGGAAGATGTGTGTAAACAGGGCCTCCGCAGTTTGCAGGGCCGTGGGGAGACCGGGCAGAGGAAGGAGGCGGCAGGCCTTGGAAAAGCGGTCCACAACGACCAGGATGGTGGTGTTACCTTGGGTGAGGGGAAGATCAGTCAGGAAATCAACACTAAGGTGAGACCATGGTCGTTGTGGAACTGGTAAAGGTTGTGACTTACCCGCTGGGAGGTGCCTAGGTGCCTTACTCTGGGCGCACACCGAGCAGGAGGAGACGTACACCCTCACGTCCTTAGCCAAGGTAGGCCACCAGTACTTTCCAGTCAGGCAGCGCACTGTACGACCGATACCTGGGTGACCAGAGGAGGGTGACGTGTGTGCCCAGTAGGTCAGACGATCACGGATAAGAGCAGGCACGTACTGCAGCCCAGCTGGACACTGAGCTGGAGATGGCTCTGTGCGTAACGCCTGCTCTATATCCGTGTCCATCGCCCATACTACTGGTGCCACAATGCAGGCCGGGAGTATGGGGGTGTTGTCTCTGGGCCTCTCCTCTGTGTCATACAGCCGTGACAATGCGTCTGCCTTCACGTTCTTTGTACCCGGGATGTATGATAGTGTGAAATCAAACCGGGTGAAGAACAGGGCACACCTGGCATGGCAAGGATTCAGCCTCCTCGCTGCCCGGATGTACTCCAGGTTACGGTGGTCCGTCCAGACGAGGAAAGGGTGTTTCGCCCCTTCGAGCCAATGCCTCCACACAGTCAGGGCTTGGACAACAGCCAACAGCTCCTGATCACCAACGTCGTAGTTCTGCTCTGCCGGGCTGAGCTTCTTAGAGAAGAAGGCACAGGGGCAGAGCTTGGGTGGCGTGCCCGAGCGTTGAGATAGGACAGTGCCTATCCCTACCTCGGACGCATCCACCTCCACTACGAACGGTAGTGATGGATCGGGGTGGGCCAGTACCGGGGCTGAGGTGAACAGACCCCTCAGGTTACTGAAGGCCCTGTCAGCCTCAGCAGACCAGTGGAGCCGGAACGGCCCACCCTTCAACAGAGATGTAATGGGAGCTGCGACCTTGCCAAAGCCCCGGATAAACCTCCGATAGCAGTTGGCGAAGGCAAGAAAGTGTTGCACCTCCTTAACCGTGGTGGGATTCGGCCAATTACGCACGGCTGAAATGCGATCTCCCTCCATCTCCACACCTGAGGTGGTAATGCGGTATCCGAGGAAGGAGACGGACTGCTGGAAAAACATACACTTCTCTGCCTTGGCATAAAGGTCATTTTCCAACAGTCGGGCCAGCACTTTGCGAACCAGGGACACATGCTCGGCGCGCGTAGCGGAATACACCAGAATGTCATCGATGTAGACCACTACACCGCGACCAAGCATGTCCCGAAACACCTCGTTCACAAAGGACTGGAAGACGGATGGAGCATTCATCAAACCGTACGGCATCACCAGGTATCCATAATGCCCCGTGGTTGTGCTGAATGCTGTCTTCCACTCATCCATCTCTCGGATACGCACCAGGTTGTACACACTCCTGAGATCTAATTTCGTGAAGAAGCGCACCCCATGCATTGACTCGATCACTGAAGGAATGAGGGGGAGAGGATAACTAAATCGTATCATCTCCTTGTTCAGTGGTCTATAATCAATGCAAGGGCGCAGACCACCTTCTTTCTTCTTCACAAAAAGGAAACTCGAGAAGGCGGGTGAAGTGGAGAGACAAATATACCCCTGGCGCAGGGACTCGGTGATGTATGTTTCCATAGCTTCCATTTCAGCCTGTGACAGGGGATACACATGACTCCTGGGAGGCACAGCGTCTACCCTGAGGTTTATCGCACAATCCCCCGCCCGATGAAGTGGTAACTTGGTTGCCTGCGTTTAAAAAAACGCATGTGCCAAATCGAGGTATTCGGGGGGAATTTGCACGGTGGAGGTACTGTCTGGACTTTCCACCGTGGTTGCACCAACGGAAACACCTAGACACCTACCCTGACACTCTCGCGACCACCCTGTGAGAACCCTCAGCGGCAATGAGGAGGTGGGGTTGTGGCGTGCTAACCAAGGGATACCTAATACCACAGGGAAAGCAGGAGACTCAATAATTTAAAAAAAGTGACTTGTTTTACTGTGGATATAGATACTTCTGTACCTGTTTCTTCCAGCATCTTCACAAGGTCCTTTGCTGTTGTTCTGGGATTGATTTGCACTTTTCGCACCAAAGTACATTCATCTCTAGGAGACAGAACAAGAAGTGGTTGTATTAATTTGGGATCTATCGCATCCCACAACTGTCCCAGACTATGTTTGGAATATTTATTTCTCGCACAGAATAGAATAGGTCGACTTTTGTACTATGGGGGATAGTAGATTTGACATAGGCTAGTGCTTTTGCTGTTCGTTAGCCCTACTCAACTTGTTGGCTAACGAAAAGTAAATGTGGGCAGCTCTTCCAATATCTTCAATATGCACCTCGGAATTGGATAAGGACGCGCGCAGTTGCATCCCCGATGTGTCTGTCTTCACTTGTAGCCTGTGAGAAAGACCCGATCACGTGATGGAGAGCCATGTGAGTGAGAGGTGATTCGGAGCACTCAGCACTCAGGAGAAGGTCACAACGGCCACTGGCCGCAAAAGGCATGGATTTTTTTAGGGTACATTACGGCCACACAAAGGGGATGCCACCGTGAAATTCGAGGCATTATCAAGTGTTTGTCAAATTGTGAATGAGTGACTGATGTAGTGTGTACAGCCTGCGCAAAAGACAAAGCAAAGCTCATGCCTTTCAAGCGACTTTTTTCAAATCATCATTAGAGTCGCATCATGCAGCCTTACAATGTATTAAAAATAAAAACATATAGCCCAACGTTTGTAGAACAACTAAAGTTACATTAATAACTCTAAATTAAGCATATAGGAGAACCTATTTCTTTGTTGACTTCTCATCACAGAATAGCCACATGTGCGCACTCCCTCAAATCATTTGGAGAAAATATTTATATTTTATTCGGCTTTGTTCTATTGTATTCTTCATACTATAAAATAATATAAAATAATACCATAGAATTCTAAGCAAATCTTGTCTGCTAAATGAACTAGTGTAGCCCACAGCCATTTGGCAAAGCCACATCAGGACCTAACATAAGGACAACTCAGAGTATGCTATTCTTTTCTTCTGAAATAGACTACATTTTCTTCATATCATGCTTCTTTAGACCTGTCTAAAATAAATAATGGATCTATTGTGAAGGTGTAGGCTATATTACATGGATTTATTATACTTTTTTAAATGTAGATGTTCCAAAGGTCTGCATCAGTGGCTTGTAGGCTATGTGTGGAAGCCAGGAGATGCTAAATCTGTTTATGTTAATTAACGGTCAATTACCGTGAGACCGACAGTTATTCGCTTGACAATCACCGGCTGACAAAATTTTGTGACCGCCACAGCCCTACTCCTGGCACCTACTACCATACCCGTTTAAAGGCACTTACATTTTTTGTCTTGCCCATTCCAACTCTGCATGGCACACATACACAATCTATGTCTCAATTGTCTCTAGGCTTAAAAATCCTTCTTTAACCTGTCTCCTCCCCTTCATCTATGCTGATTGAAGTGGATTTAACAAGTGACATCAATAAGGGATCATAGATTTCACCTGGATTCACCTGGTCAGTCTATGTCATTTAAAAAATATATATATTTTACAAATATTTTCCTGCCTCTTGGGCCCCCCACGGGCCTGGGCACCGGGGCTTCAGCCCTGGTAAGCCCATGCATTAAACCGGCCCTGTTGAGATATATACTTACATAGACATGTAATTTAATAATAGTAGACCGCGCTACCGTAAAAAAACACTTGCACTTACATTTACTTGTAAATTAAGTCCATCCTTCTATCCTGCTGGGTAAAGACATCAGTGACTGAACTGTAAAACTCCTCCCTGTTGCCCTCAGTTTTAAAAGTTGATGGAGATGATGGCAAGGGATGAGAGTCGTCCTTAATCGGCCCGGATTCGACTGTATGTCTTGATCCATTTCAACGTAGAAAATGACCTCTCAACGGATGCTGTTGTAGCTGGTATAGTGAGGACCAGCTGCAGTAACTTTGTCGCCTCGGGGACAGTCTGTGTCAGGTCATGCTGGAACAAAAAGCTGAGGAGCTGTCCAGGTGATTTGTCTCGTACCATTTGTGAACTGTACAATACGACCAGTGGTGTAAAGTACTTAAGTAAAAATACTTGAAAGTACTACTTAAGTAGTTTTTTGGGGTATCTGTACTTTACTTTACTATTTATATTTTTGACAACTTTTACTTTTACTTCACTACATTCCTAAAGAAAATTATGTACTTTTTACTCCATACATTTTCCCTGACACCAAAAAGTACTCGTTACATTTTGAATGCTTAGCAGGACAGGAACCTGACTATCCGTAAATTAAAAAAACAAGAAAAATGATGCCCCCTGGTTTGCTTTATATAAGGAATTTGAAATTATTTATTATTTTACTTTTGATACTTAAGTATATTTTAGCAACTACATTTACTTTTGATACTTAAGTATATTTTAGCAACTACATTTACTTTTGATACTTAAGTATATTTAAACCAAATACTTTTAGACTTTTACTTAAGTAGTATTTTCCTGGGTGACTTTCACTTTTACTTGAGCAATTTTCTATTAAGGTATCTTTACTTTTACTCAAGTATGAAAATTGGGTACTTTTTCCACCACAGAATACGACAAGATCAGCCTTAAGTCCCTCAAAATCTAAGTACTTGGCATATTTTGACAGACTCCAGTTTGCAGGTGTCGAACTTTTGTGACATTGTTTCGATGTTTTTGCAGTCCACTAAGCCAAGGAACTTAAAATCACCAGAGTGGTTGTTACGGATTTCCTGCCTGTGAGTTCTATAACTTCATGCAGCTAACTCCACCCATCCCCCGATGGTGCCAGAGAGACTAGGGGATCATAAACTGTTTCCCCAAAGTGACCTCTGCTACCAGCCCACCGATAGGTTGCTAGAGATGTTGCTAGGGGGCAGGACACCTGACTTCTGCCCAACCTGGTCTCAGAGCATTTCGTATTATTATGTAGGTAAATCTGAGTTACTCTATTTAGTATGATAAGTTACGTTCCGTATGGTATGGTATGTATTAATTTGTGGATGTCCATCACCCATTTGGTATGATATGTTACGAATTACAATTTGTATTATATGTTACGAATTTGCAAAACGTATGATATCTTACGAATTCTAGCTAGCTCGCTAATGTTAGTTCGCTCGCTAACGTTAGCTAGGCTAGGGGTTAGGATTAAATTTAGGAGTTAGGTTAAAAGGTTAAGGTTAGGGTTAGGGTTAGGGATAGCTAAAAGGGTTAAGGTTAGGGTTAGGGGAAGCTAACATGCTAAGCAGTTGCAAAGTTGGTAAAAAGTAGTATGTAGTTGAAAGTTGCTAATCAGCTAAAATGCTAAAGTTGTCCATGATGAGATTCAAACTAGCAACCTTTGGATTGCTAGACATTCGCGTTATACACCCACCCAACCACCCTACTTTTGTTTTTGCCTTAAGTAACCATCTGTCTTATGTAACCATACCAAACGTAACATACTGTATCATACTAAATAAAGAATAGCGGATTTACGAAATGCTCTGAGGCCGGTTTGTTCTGCCTGCTCAGGTCAGAGCTTTCTCAGTCTCTCCAAGTGGACAAGAGTAATGGAGTGCGTGGACAGAAGTGAGTGATGTTGTTATTGAAACTTGTGCATTTACTGTTGGTTGTTACTATTGCTAGTTGTTAATAGTTGTTGATGCTATGTGTTATACAGTCCTTTGCTTATGTCACTATCTCCTTATACAGTCAATATTATTATTGCTCTTGTGCTATTTATTACTCATTCATTCTCATGTTTATTAGTATATTCATTCATAACAATTCTCTGTACAGAACCACATCCATCTCATTTTTCATCTGGAAATAAAGTTATTTAGTGTGAGTAACTCTATGTAAGGTTGCCTTATTCCTCTGACCGGTAAAGTTGTCAATGAATCACAGACCAGCCCAACTGGAGACCCGCTCTCTTTCAGTGGTCAAAACTGGCTCTCATCTGAATATTGATATTGTCCAGTATGTTGTAGTAGATTAACCCCCTCTCTACTCTGATTGGCTGTTTACTATGAGTTTCGCTTTCAGCCAGGCCCAGTTCATTGCATTTCTGCTCAAATCGCTCATAGAAACAAAGGCATGTAATAGTTCCACAGAGTTGCCCCTGTTTGATGAGCTGGCACTCTCATCGTTGCCATGAATTGCCAACTCCTGTTTACCTAGGTAGCATGGAGCCTAGCATTTATTAGGTCTTTCAAAATCTCACGGTTATCTTTTGCCTTTGCATTGTGCATGTTGATGTTCAATCTCCGTTGTTCATTCAATACCAGATCTATCCGTGAGCTGCCAAATTTATTTTCAGTGCTATCTGGCTTTGGATGTGAGACAGATTTCTCATGCTTGTTGAGCCCTATTGGCAAGTTGTTCAAGTTGAAGTAACTGGCTCTTGTCCACACGTTGTCGCTGGTGGAGAACAGCAGGCAAAGGAAGCAGTAGAGTTGGCTGCTAGCAGCGCAGCCACAGAGCCAGTAGTTTCGTTGATACCACTCAGATTTAAATTATGCCGTTATTTTCTGTCCCTTCCTTTGATTTAGGTCCATAAGCTCAGGTGTTGGTCTTCCTTCCATTACCACCCCCTGTTTCACGAGAAAATCCAACTTTGAAAACTGTTTCAGATGCAATATGTTAGCCATTGTCACGGTTTCGGCCGAGGCTGCTCCTCCTCCTTGTTCGGGCAGGCTTCGGCGGTCGTCGTCCCCGGAGTACTAGCTGCCACCGTTGTATGTTTCGATGTTTGTTTGGTTTTGTCTGATTGGTTACACCTGTTTCTGTTTTGTGCTTTTATGTGTCCTATAAGTTCTCGTCGTTTGAGTCTTGTGTTGTGTGTAATTGTTTCTCCAGTCAGCAAGGGCTATTAGTATTTTCTCTCCAGTTATTGTTTTGAGAGAGTGTCCGCACTGTGTGCGCATTTGTTTTGTATTTTGTGCTTTACGCAGTGTTGCGTAAAGTTCGCTTGCCTCCGGCTTGGATTTAGCCGTGTGTTTTGTTTACGTGTCTTTACTAAAGACTGTTGGACGAAACCTCTGTTGTCCTGCGCTTGATTCCACACCACATCCACGCTCGCACCTGACAGCCATCCTGATCAGCTTACTTTTAGCTAGCAGTAAAATGAACGTAATCGCCTTTGGCGGCAGATGCAGGTATAGGTAGCTGCTTCCTGGACTGGTCTCGGAGTAGTGGGCGTGCTGAAATAAGTGGGTGTGTCGAAATAAATGGGCGTGGTGAAAGTGCACTGTTATTGGATGGTCTCTTTTGATTGAACAGGGTTGTTGCCAGTGCCTATTTTGTTCAGTCGCTTTCAGGAAGTGCATGGAGGATGCTAATGCAGTTTTAATCACATACACAACTCAAACATTTATGAGAGCAAACATGACAAATTATTATTGGTATACTACTGTATGTGTCATGAGGTATTGTATTGTACAGTCTCATAATCATTTTCACATACACAACTCAAACTTTTATGAAAGCAATAAATGAAGATCTGCCACCAGGGTAACCTAATTTTAATCTCATATTATAACGTATCAGATGGTATCAGCGTAGGCTATAGGCAATTTATTCCCAAGCCACTCTTCGTAAATTGGTCATCATCAGCATGTCAGCAATTCTTGCAGCCGGGCATGCAACCCATAGGTCTGCCCTTGCGCAACCTTGCTATCAGTGTTTAGAAATGGCACATCGACAAGTTTAATAATGACATTGCGCACTGTAGCCTACACAACTGCAATTCAATGTGATAAATGTAAAATGTTCACAACATGAAAGCATGTTAAGATACGTGCATTTACATGCAATGTTTTTCACGATTTCACAACACCATCATTCTGAGTTTCCCAAAAGTACTCAAGTTGATTTTGATGTGCCTTCCTACACAGTCATGTTTCCACTAATCTCTGCACTCGCTGGCAGGAACTGACAGAAAGTCAGGCCAATTACATGTGCACTTTCGACTCTGCACCGGTACCCCCCTGTATATAGCCTCCCTACTGTTATTTTATTTTACTTCTGCTCTTTTTTTCTCAACACTTTTTTGTTGTTGTTGTTTTATTTTACTTTATTTTATTTTTATAAATGCATTGTTGGTTAAGGGCTGTAAGTAAGCATTTCACGGTAATGTCTACACCTGTTGTATTCGGCGCATGTGGCAAATAAGATTTTATTTTATTTTATTTTTTATTTGATTTGATACGCCTACTTCCTTTCGACACCCCTATTTCTTTCAACAAACCCAGTCTCCGGCTGCCATATTGGGCTGCAGCAACCCCCTTCTCGGCAGATGAGGTGTGACGTTTATAGGCAGGTGTCAAGGGGTGCTGAAGGTGGGTGTGGTGCATGAATCAAGCGCAGGACGCAGAAGCTCAGTCCAAAAGACTTTAGTGCAATATTCACGTAGAAAATAAGCACAATAAGCCCGAAGGCGAAATAACGGCGCACACAGGCGTCAAACAAACGCTGCACTAACATGTGCGAAAAACCTCTCCAAAACACTGGAGGGAAGTACGTAGCTCCAACACAAAACAGAAGAGCAATCACACACAAAGACAAACACACACAACGAGAACTAAATAGGACACTAACGAGGACTAACAAGACACAGGTGTACAACATCAAGACAAAACCAAACGAACATGAAACATAGATCGGTGGCAGCTAGTACTCCGGGGACGACGACCGCCGAAGCCTGCCCGAACCAGGAGGAGGAGCAGCCTCGGCCGAAACCGTGACAGCAGGAGCGAGCTCTGCCTATCCCATTACTTTTTTCACGTCAGTACACATGCACATTTATTATTTGAGTGCAATGAAAATTAATGGGACATATTGACACTTGAAAGGCAGCGAAGCTCTTCTGAGATTGAAGCGTGAAAAAGGCACACGGCAAAGCTGCCTTTCCCCTGGCCTCGTTGTGCATTTTGTACCACGTCTCCACAAATGTGGGATTCAGAAATCGATTTTATCATGCAAGAAATATATACAGTACCAGTTTGGACACACCTTCTCATTCAAGGGTTTTTCTTTATTTTTACTATTTTCTACATTGTAGAATAATAGTGAAGACATCAGAACTATGAAATAACACATATGGAATCATGTAGTAATCAAGAAAGTGTTAAACAAATCAAAATATATTTTATATTTGAGATTCTTCAAAGTAGCCACCCTTTGCCTTGATGACAGCTTTGCACACTCTTGGCATTCTCTCAACCAGCTTCATGAGGAATGCTTTTCCAACAATCTTGAAGGAGTTCCCACATATGCTGAGCACATGTTGGCTGCTTTTCCTTCACTCTGCGGTCCGACTAATCCCAAACCATCTCAATTGGGTTGAGGTCGGGTGATTGTGGAGGCCAGGTCATTTGATGCAGCACTCCTCACTCTCCTTGGTCAAATAGCCCTTACACAGCCTGGAGGTGTGTTGGGTCATTGTCCTGTTGAAAACAAATGATAGTCCCACTAAGCGCAAAGCAGATGGGATCGCATATTGCTGCAGAATGCTGTGGTAGCCATGCTAGTTAAGTGTGCCTTGAATTCTAAATAAATCACAGACACTGTCACCAGCAAAGCACTCCCACACCATCACACCTCCTCCTCCATGCTTCACGGTGGGAACCACACATGCGGAGATCATCCGTTCACCTACTCTGCGTCTCACAAAGACATGGCGGTTGGAGCCAAAAATCTCAAATTTGGACTCATCAGACCAAAGGGCAGATTTCCACCGGTCTAATGTCGATTGCTCATGTCTTTTGGCCCAATCAAGTCTCTTCTTATTATTGGTGTCCTTTAGTAGTGGTTTCTTTGCAGCAATTCAACCATGAAGGCCTTATTCACGCAGTCTCCTCTGAACAGTTGATGTTGAGATGTGTCTGTTACTTCAACTCTGTGAAGCATTTATTTGGGCTGCAATTTCTGAGGCTGGTAACTCTAATGAACTTATCCTCTGCAGCAGAGGTAACTCGGCCTTCCTTTCCTGTGGCGGTCCTCATGAGAGCCAGTTTCATCATAGCGCTTGATGGTTCTTGCGACTGCACTTGAAGAAACTTTAAAAGTTCTTGAAATGTTCTGGATTGACTGACCTTAAAGTAATGATGGACTGTCATTTATCTTTGCTTATTTGAGCTGTTCTTGGTCTTTTACCAAATAGGGCTATCTTCTGTATACCACCCCTACCTTGTCACAACACAACTGATTGGCTCAAATGCATTAAGAGGAAAGAAATTCCAAAAATGAACTTTTAACAAGGCACACCTGTTAATTGAAATGCATTCCAGGTAACTACCTCATGAAGCTGGGCCAAGAGTGTGCAAAGCTGTCATCAAGGCAAAGGGTGGCTACTTTGAGGAATCTGAAATATAAAATATATTTTGATTTGTTTAACACTTTTATGGTTACTACATGATTCCATATGTGTTACTTCATAGTTTTGATGTCTTCACTATTATTCTACAATGTAGAAAATAGTACAAATAAAGAAAAAACTCTGGAATGAGTAGGTGTGTCCAAACTTTTGACTGGTACTGTATATTATTGATAGAATTGTTATTTATTTATTTTTCATTACAGTTCTTTTTTTGTTCATTTTCATCTACCCTGACTGCACGTCACTTACTGTGTGTGTATGTGTGTGTGTGTGTGTGTGTGCATGCGTGCACATACTTGCATGTATGCGTGCACAATTCTGTGTTCCTTAGATGAGGCTGTCTCTCCTGGTTGTCCAGGCAGTGCTGCAGCTCTGCAGCCCAGTCATCCTTTCAGACCCTCTGCTCTACATCTCTCAGCTGGAGGAGGGGCAGTAAGCCCCCAGCAGTGAGTCGGATTATATTCATCCCTATTACACAAACACGTTTATCAAAATCCATCAACTGGGTCTCATAGTGGAATAATATTGTTGTCTGAATATTCTCTACCAAGCAACCTAATCCAAAGCAGTTAGATTTCAACTCCAGAAAATATACTCCATCACAACCTATAGCCTTTGCTTTCTGTCCCTTTTTACAGAGCCCTGGCTCAACCCTCTGCTGGAAGATGTGGTCCCTGATCTGGACATCCACAGTCCACCCAGACTGACAGAGACCTCAGATCTAGATCCCCAGTTCCCTGACTCCCTGTTTATGTATGGCGAGAACGCCAACCTCAAATGGGTAAAATGGGAAGGGTCCCTCCCTAATGGTGCTGTGGGCATCTACAATGGTTACACTGAACGACACGACTACATCTGCAAAGTCAACTGCGAAGCCGGCTTCTACACCGCAAGCAAAGCCAGTACCCCTACACTGACAAGGAGTATTCATCCTCAAAGTTCGAAGTCCTGGTCAACGTGGACAACTTTGAATTTGTGGAGTGGATCGAGGAGAAATACGGTGCTGTCCTCCAATATGCTGTCAAGACCTGCGCAGGCATTGAGATATACACTACCGTTCAAAAGTTTGGGGTCACTTAGAAATGTCCTTGTTTTCGAAAGAAAAGCAATTTTTTTGTCCATTAAAATAACATCAAATTGATCAGAAATACAGTGTAGACATTGTTAATGTTGTAAATGGCTATTGTAGCTGGAAACGGCTGATTTTTAATGGAATATCTACATAGGCGTACAGAGGCCCATTATCAGTCCTGTGTTCCAATGGGACGTTGTGTTTGCTAATCCAAGTTTATCATTTTAAAAGGCTAATTGATCATTAGAAAACCCTTTTGCAATTATGTTAGCACAGCTGAAAACTGTTGTGCTGATTAAAGAAGCAATAAAACTGGCCTTCTTGAGACTTCTGGAGTATCAGCAATTGTGGGTTCGATTACAGGCTCAAAATGGCCAGAAACAAATAACTTTCTTCTGAAACTCGTCAGTCTATTCTTGTTCTGAGAAATGAAAGCTATTCCATGCAAGAAAATGCCAAGAAACTGAAGATCTCGTACAACGCTGTGTACTACTCCCTTCACAGAACAGCGCAAACTGTCTCTAACCAGAATAGAAAGAGGAGTGGAAGGCCCCGGTGCACAACTGAGCAAGAGGACATATACATTAGAGTGTAAAGTTTGAGAAACAGACGCCTCACAGGTCCTCAACTGGCAGCTTCATTAAATAGTACCCGCAAAACACCAGTCTCAATGTCAACAGTGAAGAGGCGACTCCGGGATGCTGACCTAGGCTGGTGGAGTCCATCAGCCACTCCATCTCTGTGGAGCTGCTGGTCCCTCCCAACCACTCCTGTGCCGTGCGGATGGAGGGCAGGAAGATGACAGCCAACATCCCCTTCACGGGTAGACTGAGCCGGACCTACCATAATGGAGACACCCACTGGACCACCATCACAGGGATTTATGATGGTGTGAGGGTGGGGGAGATCAATGCCGTCGTAGAGAGATGCCAGCCTGTCTCTGATGACATCCCCTGCTACCCCGATGAGACAGATTACTGAGACAGAATTCTAGATCTGTGAACTTTGAACTCCAATGTGCCTGTGGTATCCCTCCAGACACAAAGTGAAGAAATTACCCTTATGTCACAATAACTTTTCATCAGACAGGAATAAACTGATATATCTGCATATTCAGATAAAACAGCCAGTTAATTTATTTTTGTGTTTTTGTGTCAAGAAAAGCAATTTTTGCCGAATGTTTCAAGACAATAAATATGATCTTGGTGCAAAATGTTGTTTTTCTCTTTTCTTGATTTAACTAATTTACTCCTGTATGCTACATGCACCTATAGCTGTATCATCATCATTAGTTTCAATGGCCTATTGAAGTTAAATATAATTTCAGCACATGAAGTTACACAATGTTGAAAGGTCCAAAATCACTTTTCCAAACCAGTAGCCTATTTATATTACATTTACATTTTAGTCATTAAGCAGACGCTCTTATCCAGAGCGACTTACAGTTAGTGAGTGCATACATTATTTTTTAATACTGTCCCCCGTGGGAATCGAACCCACAACCCTGGCGTTGCAAACGCCATGCTCTACCAACTGAGCTACATCCCTGTGCATTTGCTATGAGTGTTAAGGCGTGTATACAGTGCCTTCAGAAAGTATTCACACCCCTTGACTTTTTCCACATCTTGTTGTCTTACAAAGTGGGATTAAAATGGATTTCATTGTCATTTTTTGGTCAACGATCTACACAAAATACTCTGTAATGTCAAAGTGGAAGAAGAATTCTAACATTTTTTAAATAATGGAAACTAAAACACTAATATATATTGATTAGATAAGTATCCATCCCCATGATTCGATACATGTTAGAAGTGATTACAGCTGTGAGTCTTTCTGGTTAATTCTCTAAGAGCTTTGCACACCTGGATTGTACAATATTTGGCAATTATTCTTTTAAAAAATTGTCAATCTCTGTCAAGTTGGTTGTTGATCATTGCTAGACAGCCATTTTCAAGTCTTGCCATAGATTTTCAAGAAGATTTAAGTCAAAACGCTAGCTAGGCCACTCAGGAACATTCAACGTCATCTTGGTAAGCAACTCCAGTGTATATTTGGCCTTGTGTTTTAGGTAATTGTCCTGCTGAAAAGTGAATTTGTCTCCCAGTGTCTGTTGGATGGCAGACTGAACCAAGTTTTCCTCTATGATTTTGCCTGTGCTTAGCTCTATTCCATTTATTTTTATCCTGAAAAACTCCCTAGTCCTTGCCGATGACAAGCATACCCATAACATGATGCAGCCTCCACCATGCTTGAAAATATGAAGTGGTACTCAGTGATGTTTTGTGTTGTATTTGCCCCAAACATAACGCTTTGTATTCAGGACAATAAGTTCCTTTCTTTGCCACATTTCTTGCAGTATTACTTCAGTGCCTCATTAAAACAGGATGCATGTTTTGGAATTTTTCTTCCTTCTTTTCACTCTGTTATTTAGATTATTATTGTGGAGTAACTACAATGCTGTTGATCCATCCTCAGTTATTTCCTGTCAGAGCCATTAAATTCTGTAACTGTTTTAAAATCACCATTGGCCTCATGGTGAAATCCCTGAGCGGTTTCCTTCTTCTCCGGCAACTGAGTTAGTATTGATACACCATCCAAAGTGTAATTAATAACTGCACCATGCTCATCTACCAATAGGTGCCCTTCTTTGCGAACCATTGGAAAACCTCCCTGGTCTTTGTGGTTGAATCTGTGCTTAAAATTCACTGCTTGACTGAGGGACCTTACAGATAATTGTATGTGTGGGGTACAGAGATGGGGTAGTCATTTACAAATCCTGTTAAACACTATTATTGCACACAGAGTGAGTCCTTGCAACTTATTATGTGACTTGTTAAGCACATTTTTACTCCTGAACTCATTTAGGATGTAATACTTATTGACACAAGACATTTGAGCTTTTCATTTTTAATTAATTTGTAAACATTTCTAAAAACAAAACATAATCTTCACTTTGAAATGATTGGGTGTTGTGTGCAGATCATTTACACAAAATCTCAATTTAATCAATTTTAAATTCAGGCTATAACACAACAAAATGTGGAAAAAGTCAATGAGTGTGAATAGTTTCTGAAGGCACTGTAAGTGAATTTATAAACCTCCAAGCTAGGTGGCGGTATGTTTGAAAAGATCAGACGTTGGTCACAATGAACCCTCTCAGTTTTCTGCCCAGCAGTCTCTTTGATTAATGTCAAAGTTGCATGGTACGGCAGGTTTATTTTACCAACAGAACTATATAGATATCCTTCTCCAATGTTTCTTCTTTTGTGTTCTCAATTTTATAGATAGATCCGAGATTTCAAAGCTATAGACATTTCAAATAGATTCGTTTAATACTGAACTGAAATGTCAGGAGTACATTACTGAATCTAAGCTATTAATAGTGGTCACAGACAGTAGGCTTTTGACACTAGGCTACAATGTCACTGCCAGAGAACATGAAGTTATGAACGTCACTTATGAGAAACGTCCATATATACATTAAAACCTGGGAAACGTCACTGTTGTTGGTAGACCTAAACTTTGGCATTGTGTGTCACCATTTTTCAAGACTGCTGAACTTCTGTCACAATGAGACGACTTTTATCAAAACTGATAAACCGAGCGTTGCTGACTGAACCCTTTGGACGAATGATGGGCAGTGAAGCAGGAGTCCACACAAATTCTCGTATGAGACTGGTAAGTGAATTATTCAAGAAAAACAATTGCTGCCCAATATGTTGTAGTCAGTGCACTGCAGCCACTTGTCTTGGGTTTTGACTAGGATACAGTTTGTCAGAATTGACCAAAATAGACTTTTCAAGCAGGTTAAGAGAGCTTACGCAGGAGGTTAGGATAATTAATGTTGCAGGTTATGAGAATTAGGTTAAGGTTAGGAAAAGGGTTAGGGTTAGCTCAAATGCAAAGAGTTTAAACTTGACGTAAATTTCACATAAACTGTATCCCATCTAGCCATGGTCCTTGTATTGCTCACAGTTTGATACATATAAAGCGTAGGCCTATGACTTGTTACAATGTAGCTGCTGGCATAGCAGCCCATGCTAGAATGTAACAATTAACAATGCTGGTAACGTTGCAAGCGACAACGTAACGTTAATCCACTTGAGACCACAGCTGACAGTTTGTGTCAATAGGGCTCATCAGGTTCTGTGCGTGGTGTTGTTCACAGTACAATTTTGTAAGCATTGCATTTTTAACTGTTACAGAAGTATTTGCTGCTATTACTTTTATTACAATTGATCTAAATCGAAATTAAGTGTAGTGGCTAACCTATAATAATAATAATAATATGCCATTTAGCAGACCTAGTCAAAAGTTCCACAATGAGACACATTTGAAAGTAAATACATGTCTTATTCTGTTTGGCAGCCTTGTTTTGAGAGCTCTGTTTTTAAGTTATAAAAGTAAAAACAAAAACTTTGCTCCTGTGTGTTTTTGTCACTGTCAATGAGGGAGTTCAATTAACCTGAGCTATGGTGCATGGGTCTATGGCCTGTGACGTGAATGGACAAAAGTGGTGAGGGAGGCACACCCTTTTGAAATCGAACAGTAATCAGTGCCACTCGTGTTGTCAACAAGGCAGCATGGTGCATCGTCCAGAAACAAACAACATCTCTTTTCCATAAAATATATGTTAGAATTTCAAATTAGTTTTCATTGGGAAGGCAGATAAAGCATTTTTATCAAAAACAATCACTTTTGCATGTGAAAACACAGAATCCTACTCATTACTCCACGTGCTTAATCTAAATCACTTTTGTTTTGAGCCGACTTCACCATGGGATTTGAACAGGGCACCTGGCTCACGCCCAGGAGGCAGCCCGGTACCAAAATGAATGCAATCACTTTTCACCCGGTGCAAACTCCTCCCACCAGGGTAACCTGGGACAGATAATGGAATCTCCTCAATGAGTAGGCCCAGAGCTACAGTGAGCTCCAAAAGTATTGGGACACAGACCGTTTTTGTTTTCTTTTGGCTCTGTACTCCAGCACTTTGGATTTGAAATGATACATTGACTGAAGTGCAGACTGTCAGCTTTAATTTGAGGTTATTTTCATCCATATCGGGTGAAGCGCTCCACACTGCCCTTTCATACCTGGACAAAAGGAACACCTATGTGAGAATGCTATTAATTGACTACAACTCAGCGTTCAACACCATAGTGCCCTCAAAACTCATCACTAAGCTAAGGACCCTGGGACTAAACACCTCCCTCTGCAACTTGATCCTGGACTTCCTGACGGGCCGCCCCAGGTGGTAAGGGTAGGTAACAACACATCCGCCACGCTGATCCTCAACACGGGGCCCCTCAGGGGTGCGTGCTCAGTCCCCTCCTGTACTCCCTGTTCACTCATGACTGCATGGCCAGGCACGACTCCAACACCATCATTAAGTTTGCAGATGACACAACAGTGGTAGGCCTGATCACCAACAACAAAGAGACAGCCTATAGGGAGGAGGTCAGAGACCTGGCCGTGTGGTGCCAGGACAACAACCTCTCCCTCAACGTGATCAAGACAAAGGAGATGATTGTGGACTACAGGAAAAAGAAGAGGACCGAGCACGCCCCCATTCTCATCGACAGGGCTGTAGTGGAGCAGGTTGAGAGCTTCAAGTTCCTTGGTGTCCACATCACCAACAAACTAACGTGGTCCAAGCACACCAAGACAGTCGTGAAGAGGGCACGACAAAACCTATTCCCCCTAAGGAGACTGAAAAGATTTGGCATGGGTCCTCAGATCCTCAAAAGGTTCTACAGCTGCACCATCAAGAGCATCCTGACTGGTTGCATCACTGCCTGGTATGGCAACTGCTCGGCCTCCGACCGCAAGGCACTACAGAGGGTAGTGCGTACGGCCCAGTACATCACTGGGGCCAAGCTTCCTACCATCCAGGACCTCTATACCAGGCGGTGTCAGAGGAAGGCCCTAGAAATTGTCAGACTCCAGCCACCCTAGTCATAGTGTTCTCTCTGCTACCGCACGGCAAGTGGTACCGTAGCGCCAAGTATAGGTCCAAGAGGCTTCTAAACAGCTTCTACCTCCAAGCCATAAGACTCCTGAACATCTAATCAAATGGCTACCCAGACTATTTGCATTGCCCCCCCACCCCTCTTTTACGCTGCTGCTGCTCTCTGTTTATTATCTATGTATAGTCACTTTAATAACCCTACCTACATGTACATATTACCCTAATTACCTTGACTAACCAGTGCCTCCGCACATTGACTCGGTACCGGTACCCCCTGTATATAGCCTCACTATTGTTATTTGTTACTTTTATTTCGTATTATTATTATTATTTTATTTTTTGGTATTCTTTCTTAAAACTGCAATGTTGGTTAAGGGCTTGTAAGTAAGCATTTCACTGTAAGGTCTACACCTGTTGTATTCAGCACATTTGACAAATAACATTTGATTTTATTAGAAATTACAGCACTGCTTTAGGGGACCAAAAGTATTGGGACAAATTCACTTATGTGTAGTTAAGTAGTCAAAAGTTTTGTATTTGGTCCCATATTCCTAGCACGCAATGATTACATCAAGCTTGTGACGCTACAAACTATTTGGATGCATTTGCTGTTTGTTTTGGTTGTGTTTCAGATTATTTTGTGTCCAATAGAATTTCATGGTAAATAATGTATTGTCATTTTGGAGTCACTTTTATTGTAAATAAGAATAGAATATGATTCTGAACACTTCTACATTCATGTGGATGCTACCATTAATAGGGATAATCCTAAATGAATTGTGAATAATGATGAGCGAGAAAGTTAAGAGGCATAAATATCATACCCCCCCCCAAAAAAATGCTAACCTCCCCTTTTATTGTAGTGGTGAGAGGTTAGCATGTCTTGGGGGTATGATATTTGTGCGTCTAACTTTCTCACTCACCATTATTCAGGACTATCCGTAATCATGGTAGCATCCACATTAATGGAAGTAGAAGCGTTTAGAATTTTACCATTCATTTCTATTGGGCACAAGATAATCTGAAACACAACCAAAACAAACAGCAAATGAATCCAACAAGTTTGTAGTGTCACAAGCTTGATGTAATCATTGCGTGCTAGGAATATGGGACTAAATACTAAACTTTTGACTACTTTAATACACATAAATCCCCTTGAATGTATGTACAAAAAGTGCTGTAATCTCTAAACGGTTCACCTGATATGGATTAAAGCTGACAGTCTGCACTGTAACCTCATAGTCAAATCCAAAGTGTTGGATTAAAGAGCCAAAACAACAACAAACATTGTCACTGTCACAATACTTTTGGAGCTCACTGTATATTTAAGCAATAAGGCCCGAGGGGGTGTGGTATATGGCCAACATACCACGGCTAAGGGCTGTTCTTATGCACGACGCAACAGACCTTAGCCGTGGGATATTGGCCATATATCACAAACCCCCGAGGTGCCTTATTGCTATTATAAATGGGTTACCAACGTAATTAGAGCAGTAAAAATAAATGTTTTGTCATACTCGTAGTATATGGTATATACCAGGGCTTGAACCATCCAGTTTATAACCTCCAATTGAACACCCGGTAATTACAAGGGAGAACCCGCCCCTGGATGCTTCTCTTTCTATTGGCTCATGGCTACTTCCTAGTTCTACGGGTAGCAGACATTTTTTTGGAAAACACACCATACCACCTCCTCCTCCGTGCTTCATCCGTTCACCTACTCTGTGGCTCAGAAAGACACAGCGGTTGGAACCAAAAATCGCGAATTTGGACTCATCAGACCAAAGGACAGATTTCCACCGGTCTGATGTCCATTGCTCGTGTTTCTTGGCCCAAGCAAGTCTCTTCTTCTTATTGGTGTCCTTCAGTAGTGATTTCTTTGCAGCAATTCGACCATGAAGGCCTGATTCACGCGGTATTCTCTGAACAGTTGATTTTGAGATGTCTGTTACTTCAACTCTGTGAAGCATTTATTTGGGCTGCAAATTATGAGGCTGGTAACTCCAATGAACTTATCCTCTGCAGCAGAGGTAACTCGGCCTTCCTTTCCTATGGCGGTCCTCATGAGAGCCAGTTTCATCATAGCGCTTGATGGTTTTTGCGACTGCACTTGAAGAAACTTTCAAAGTTCTTGAAATGTTCCGAATTGACTGACCTTTATGTCTTAAAGTAATGATGGACTGTCGTTTCTCTTTGCTTATTTGAGCTGTTCTTGCCATAATATGGACTTGGTCTTTTACCAAATAGGGCTATCTTCTGTATACCACCCCTACCTTGTCACAACACAACTGATTGGCGCAAACGCATTAAGAAGGAAAGACATTCCACTAATTAACTTTTAACAAGACACTCCTGTTAATTTAAATGCCAGGTGACTACTGGTTGAGAGAATGCAAAGAATGTGCAAAGCTGTCATCAAGGCAAAGGGGTGTCTACTTTGAAGAATCTAAAATCTCAAATATATTTTGATTTGTTTAACACTACATGATTCCATGTGTTATTTCATAGTTTTAATGTCTTCACTATTATTCTTACAATGTAAAAAATAGTACAAATAAAGAAAAACCTTTGAATGAGTAGGTGTGTCCAAGCTTTTGACTGGTACTGTATACAGTGCTATGAAAAAGTATTTGCCCCCTTTCTAATTTTCTCTACTTTTGCATATTTGTGATACTGAATGTTATCAGATCTTCAACCAAAACCTAATATTAGATAAAGGGAACATAAGTGAACAAATAACACAACAATTACATATTTATTTCAAAAAACCAAACTCTGCATTCCACAGTAAGAACATCATACCAAAGGTCAAGCATGGTGGTGGTGGTTGTGTGATGGTTTGGGGATGCTTTGCTGCCTCAGGACCTGGACGACTTGCCTTAATAGAAGGAACCATGAATTCTGCTCTGTATCAGAGAATTCTACAGGAGAATGTCAGACCATCCGTCTGTGAGCTGAAGCTGAAGCACAGCTGGGTCATGCAGCAAGACAATGATCCAAAACACTCAATCAAGTCTACATGAAAATTGCTAAAAAGCAACAAATTTGAAGTTTTGGAATGTCCTAGTCAAAGTCCAGACCTAATCCCAATTGAGATGTTGTGGCAGGACTTGAAACGAGCAGTTCATGCTTGAAAACCTACACGTCACTGAGTTAAAGCAGTTCTGCATGGAAGAGTGGGCCAAAATTCCTCCACAGCGACGTGAGACACTGATAAACAACTACAGGAAGCATTTGGTTGGAGTCATTGCAGCTAAAGGTGGCACAACCAGTTATTGAGTGTAAGGGGGCAATTACTTTTTCACACAGGGGAATTGGGTGTTGTGTTATTTGTCCACTTATGTTCCCTTTAACTAATATTAGGTTTTGGTTGAAAATCTGATAACATTCAGTATCATAAATATGCAAAAGTAGAGAAAATTAGAAAGGGGGCAAATACTTTTTCATAGCACTGTATATATATATATATATATTAGGACCAGGCAAAAGTTTGGACACACCTACTCATTCCAAAATATACTATAGGTCCCTTAGCCTACTAGCCATCACCTCCCTAGGTATAAGTGTCCTTTGGGCTGCAAAACACACTTGGCAAAAATAATTTTAAATAAAAATTACGGCTTTTAACTAACTTTGACAAATTTCTGTTTTTATTATTAAATGATTAATAGATTGTTTTAGGCATACAAGTTATGTTAGTTATTGATATTGACTAGGCATGTAGTGGGATACCAATCAGTTTGAAAGCAGGCTATTGCAATAAAGAAAATAAAACATATATTTATTTTCTATAAATTCACAATTTTAATTGTGGGGAAGGAGAATGGGAACAATGGCAAAAGCATGGCAGTCTTTCAACAGGCCTTCCTGCAGCCACAACTCTACAACAGGTGCATTGGATCTTTTTGTGGCCGTGGTGCTTCGAGAAAAAGTGGACTTTTACGTGTGCCTGTCACGAATTTCGAATGAGTCATAGGGCTATGTAGCGGACTAAACTCTACTCCATGGTGAAGGAAGTTTCTGATGACTCCACCAACTGAGTGGAGCAGATACCAAGCTTTGTGGAATCTAGATCCGTCTACATCCATTCACTTAAGGGCAATACTTCCAAAACATTTAAATTATGAAAAGTATGGATTTCAGCAAACAAAGAAAGTCACGCAAATATAGAGGACAAACAGGTACAAGGTAGGCGTTTCATAATTTACAGTTTAAGTACTGACCTTGGGCGAATTGATGTAGTCAGAGTTGGATTCCGCAAAGCCTGGTCTATGCTCCACTCTGTTGGTGGAGTCATCAGAAACTTCCTACACCATGGAGTGGAGTTTAGTCCGCTAAGGCCTACGTGTCTATTTCACAATAAGCTGTGATGAAGGGCTCACTTTGCCTGCGATCAGTCCTCTGATTTAGTTCACGCTCTCTATGTTGCTGAATTTTGTGCGCATGTATTAGGACGCATCAAGGGATTCCCGCATGTGGGTTACATGTCTTCAATGTTTGCTACGTGGGGTAACCGCAATGTAGACTACCTGGGGATTCTATGTTTTTATTCTTCATAATTATAAGTTAGACATGAAGAGCTCCAAAAACAAGGCTCCCTGGAACAATTATGAGCCAAAAACAGATTTGATAATATATTTGAAACAGGACTTTGTATTATTGTTAGTTAAAAATGTGTGACTAACATGACACATCAGTCCGTTCTTGTGGGAGGAGAACCACTGTACTCGCCAGTGACATTTAGAGAAATATAGTATGCAAAGATGGAAAATAACTATTTCTTGTCCTTGTGCAGGTTGTGGGACTGGGAAACCCTGGAATGAATGGTTCGCGCCATAGCGTGGGCATGGCAGTGCTCGAAGCACTTGCTTCCCGGCTTGGGGTAGCTGATAGCTGGCGTGGTGATAAGCATGTGTCCGGTGAGGTCATCGTATCTGACATCCAGGACACCCAAATCGTGCTTCTCCGACCACGACTACTGATGAACATAAACGGTGTATCCGTGGCCAAAGCAGGTGAGGAATCTTGTCTTCTTGATGTCTTTTGACATTTTATGTATTTTGAGTTTTGACTGTCAGAGGAATTATACCAAAAGTAGGCTATGTGTACTGTGAATGAATTGTTAATGATATTTTGTTTTTAATTACCTTGAATCAAGCGGGTAAATACAGCATCAAGCCTGAGCACATACTACTGGTTCATGACGAGTTGGATAAGTCTCTTGGAAAGCTTGCTATGAAACAAGGAGGGAGTGCCAGGTGAGTTGATTCCCAGACAGTTATCAGCCTGACTAATGATGCTATCTGACAACAATGTGATCTTCCCAAGTTTGTGCTCATTTTAGATGTTGTTGATTGACAGGGGTCACAATGGTGTGCGGTCCTGTGTTGAGTGTCTGCAGACTGATGTAAGTAGCTTTCCACACAGACAAATACTCTCCCTTCCCACATTGGGAGGAATTGAGAGATGACTGTTCCCTTTGACACATTTTGGGAAGGTGCTAGAGAATCCAGAGAAATGTCATGTCTGTCAAATGGAACTGTTGTCTGGGGGGGTTGGGCGCAGAGTAAAAAGTCAAATGTATTTAGCAAGATAGACAATAAGGTACAATTATATTATTGTGCCCCCCAGGTGATGCTCAGACTGCGTGTTGGGATTGGCAGACCATCAGGTAAAACATCAGTGGACCGCCATGTTCTGGGCCGCTTCTCTCAGGAGGAGCAGAAGGTTCTGAGGGGGGTTTTAGAAGAGAGTGTGGACATTCTCCTCTCCCAGCTCACTGACAAGGAGAATGTGCAGTCCCCACTCTCGCCACCTGGAGGCAGACCAGCATCACAGACTGGGAAACCAAGGGAGCGTTTAAGCTCTCCAGGAAAGGACACAACAGCTGGCCAGACCTGAGACTGACGAGACGTTGACAGAGCCAGTGAAACTATGACTGTACTTAATTTGTTATGACTTTATTTATGCTCTGGTTTAGAGTGTATGTGAAATGAATGCCAAGTAAGCACACTTTGTTTCAAGGACAAAGAATTTAGATATGAATAAGATAATCATCGCATAGAGCATCTAGATTGGTATGCAGTATGCATTTATTTGGAAGTTTCCCAAACTACCAGTTGTATGGCTTTTGGTGGTCTAATTATGTGCAAGGTCCAAGGAGAGACCAATACTTGATATTAGAATGATTAAACAAAACCATCATACCAATGGCATTGAGAAGAAATGGAACTAATGGTGAATGAACTGAGGGAAGACTGAGGGTTTTCCTGATAAGAGAACCTGTTTCATTCATGTTTCAGCCACCCTGAAAGCCTCCCAATCCCAGGGTCTCACATCATCTAAACTCATTGTCTTTGGTGTATTTACTGGTGCAACATATTGATTCCATCCTTTAATTGTCAGCCTATAACCACACTCTTAATCAACAAGCATTCTTAATGAGTAGTAGCAAACAGTCAAGAAGTGTATGATTCTCACCAAAGTGAATACCAGCCCACAAAAACTGAGAAAGGAGCATATAAAAAGTACAGAAAGGCAGAGTGAGAGAAAGGAAAACTGATACAATGGGCCGAATAGATTGCGATGCAGGGCTAAAGAAAGGGCGGGGGAGAAAACAATGGGGGCCAAACATTGTAGGATAGGGCTGTTTGAAGCCTTCTGTTTGGCAGTAGCTCAGAGTCACAACAAAGCATCAGGGACACACTTGTGGATGTGGGGAATGGGACTCAAAGGGAATCTCTCCACTCATGACAGACCCTGGCCTCTCTCGACCCCTTTCGCTTTCTCTCATGTGACCCCGTTGAGCCAGCCATCTCACCCACCAGGGCACTTTCCCAGCCCCTCTGAGTGGTCAGCCTGGGAGAGTGCAGTGGTGGCCTGTAACTTTTCTCTGAAAGGTAAGAGGTCACTCATAAGGCTGGACACTGGGCTAATTTATTCAAGAAAGGCTTCCCCTCCTCAGCAGTTATAGGCTGAGCTTCACTAGCCCAAAGCCCAGTGGGGGGTCTTCCCCTAAGCCCACAGATGTGCTAAGACCAGGGATACACAAAAAGACAAGGAGGGGGGATGGACACACACACAAACTGCATTCTTGTCTCTCCAATTGCGGACCCTCAGAGATTTCTTGATGTTTAAAGTGGATTCGTTATTCACCATGATCCCCAACAGATGACCTGGGAACGATAAGAACTTAATATGGACATTATCAGTACAGGAATGTGGATCGAATTCACTGGTTGTAAATGTGAACTTTCTCAATGTAGTCCTTTGTAATTATCAAGGAGGATACTGCCTTCCCTCTCTTTGGGATATGACTGTCAAACTAAGCCTAATGGTTTAGTGCATGGTCTTATATTGAGGCTCCGGTTTAGTGATGCCATTTGTCACAGCCAGCCACACTCACCTAGCTTATTGGGGCCCTTATACCCTCCTTACCTAGGAACCGTGCAGTATTGGCATGCTGTTTTAAGTCAAGAGAAAGGTGAACATGACGAGAAGTGAAAACAAGAGGATTCCCCAGTTCTACTGACTCACAGAGAGGCTTGGAGACTAAAATGTATTTCCACATTCACTTAAAGACTGCGAAGGTTTTTCCCTATATCCACAAGTGAACACAGTCGGTCTCAGAAAATATAGATATGATAACTTGATGCGCTACACTAAGATTTACACATGGGCTATGGGCCTGGTTTGTATTGTTGCATATGTTATAAGCCTACAAAACAGGATGAATTTAAGTGAAAGTAAAGTGAATGTATTACCAATAAGAGGGGAAATCCTTTGGGCTTAGAATATACTTTGCAGCTTTACAAAAATTGTTCCTATAAATTATGCTATTATATATTCAGACCTTGAAAAATTGGCTAGGCCTACTCAAATCTGCACTGCACTGGGGAAAGAGTGTCCTTACAGACCTGCTATTTTAATTTGACCCTGTTAATAGCAACAGGAAATGTGAATTACTTTGTGGATTATAATTCATGGAGATTTTTTTAAGGGTTGATACATTTTTCGTTAGGTTAAATCAAGTCTGATATTTTAAAGTGGAAATTACAAACTTTAGAAGCCTTTTTAAACCTTGAATACATTACAATTTGCATTTTCTGCTGCGCAGGAAAATGATCTGGGTCAACAGTGATCAAATTAAAATAGAACTACTGTAGGCCTATGTGTTTTTTCATGTAGTGGTGACTGGTGGTGACAGACTAGGAAGCATCAGCTATCATTGAAACTTTTGAAATGCCAAAGTTGACTTCATAGGACAATAACAAAACATGTATGAAAGGAGTTTCAAACTCTTAAAATAAACTACATTTACCCGCAAATTGCCATAGAATGAGAAAAAACAAACAAGAAAAAACGAGTTAAGCTATTTCTGTGATGTACTAAACTACAGAAGAAAATGTACAGGTTTATCTGAGAAATATAATAATCTTTCTTCCCAATACAGATATGTATTCAATGACTTTCACAAAGTGGGTTCATAATAAAGGCCTAATATAGTTTTTTTCTCTCCAATGAACTGAATGGGTTTAGTTTAGTGAATCAGTGAAGTCCCCTCTCGCTTTCCCGATAAGTAAGCATTAATAACGCGTATTTTCCCTCCCTTTAGCCATAATCTCCAGTGATCTCGCGCCTCCCGCACTAAATTATTCTGACATGGCGGTGAAAAGGCAGCAGCGGGCAGGCCCTTTAAGAGGCAAATGAGCATCGAAAGTGAGAAGATGTTCCCAGCAAAGGAAATGTTAACTCACTCCCCTCTAAGGAGTGCGATGCTATGGATGAAACCAACTGAGATGTCTTTAAAAGGAAAAGGGGAGAGCAGCCCAACCCCGAAGGCGGTCACTGTTTAATAATTTATCAGAGAGGAGTAGGCTTTTAACCCGAGCTATGATAGGCCTAAAGCATCTGGAGTGTGTGAAGCGCAAGTAGCATGGCTCTTTGGGCAAGGTTTACCTTCCTCGACACCATGCGATGCATATTCGATAAGGGAAGTGATTCGATATAGCAATCGAACGTAGCAAATCATTCGATCCAGTCGATCTAATTGCCATTTGAAAGAGATGTTTGGGTCAGAAAACTAGAAGAATAGTAGGCTAGTCAGAATAGTTTCAGGCCTTCTGAGGACCTGGACAGTAACTGGTAAGTTTGTTTCAGAATGAGGTCACAATGTTAGACCCATAAGCACCACGTCACCCTCGCGCGGTTTGTGGTTCACCTGTCAATCACCTGTGTCATACAGCTCTACAGAAATGTTTAGTTTATGTCTTGAAGATTTTCCTGAAAACTACTACAATAGCCTTATCTGAGAAATAAGGCTTAGGCCTAAACTACACGAACATTTATTCCTCCATAGTTATGGTAATCATATTGATCTCATGGTCTTATAGGCTCTACTAATTCATATGTAATTCATATGTTATTAACAGCCAAAACATCTGCCAATAGGCCATTCATTAATATTTTTGTAATAAACTAATGAACAAACAAGTTGATATTTGTTAGTGCTATGAACACCCCTGGTTTGTTTTTGTGAAACGAGAGAGGAAACGTAATTTATTATTGACAATTCGTTTTGCAAGGGTAACAGTGTTTTGATTGTAATTGCCCTGGAGAGGCAAAATAGGACTGTTGTATCTTTAAAATCTTTGCTGGTCCTTCATTCGCAGCTGCTGGCTCGTGTGTGCTATCAGAGACAGTGCAGATGCATTACTTCTTCAGCACAATGGACATTTATCGCCCCATGGTGTTATTCAAATTCAGTACCAAGCGAAGACCATCCCCACTCCCTTTCGCCGTCCATCTCGGTAACACCGTTATTGTGAGTGGAGCTCAAGAAAAGCCTTTGGATAACAGAATAGCGAGCACGCAGTGCCATTCCGGTGCAGTCGTCTTATCAAGTTGACTCATATAACCCTTTTTCGCGTCTTATCATTTTTCTACAAGCTGGAGTATACAAGAAATGCTGCTTGGGGACCGCGGAGTAGCAGGTGCATTCGCGTTTTAACCATTTCCCCTCCGCTTCCTCGCATCAGCAATGTTCTGCTTTGTCGCTTAGTAACGTTTTAAAATTAATATAACCACCGAGGTTTTTTTTGTATGATTGGAATTATTTGGAGTCGAGTTCAATTGCTTGTGTTCTTCTCTATAATGATGTGGAAACTATATGTGCAAGGAGATGCGTCTTACAGGTGCAGATATGGCGAAACGCAGTCGTAATGGTTTGAACGACTCGTGTCTTCTGATTCCTATGCTGATGATTAGAGCAAACCCTTTTCATGTTGTTTTATTATGGCATTGAATTAAGACGTTTTTACAGTGTTTTGATGTTTTTGAAGGGGAAGTTGTATAATCTCTGAGGCCTTCGTCGACTTAAACATCTTCTGGTAAATCATGCCATTGGTATAGGCTATCAAAGATCAGAGTATCGAAAATAGCAGATATTTTGAATTTGAAATGTTCATGTTTGTTACTAGACCTGCTGATTTATCAAACGTTTAAAGGAGAAAACAAAAGTTTAGCTTTATAAGAAAACAATAGGCTACTGCTTTTAAAACGTTATTAGTTTAACTTGCACATATCTAGATTACATTAACTAATATGTTTCTGTATCTTGCAACTGATGATATTTCATTTTACCAAATAAGATGAGGATCCATGGTCAGATGCATGATTGGAATGACAATTAGTGATAGTGCCTCCATATGTTCTACAGGTCTATCTATATATTCTACAGATTCAAAGAGAATTGATATGATGAATTTAAATGGATTAATTCAGAACTGTTTTGAATGATGAGATCAATTATTTTGGAGAGACACACTTTGAGCCCTTGCAGTTGATTGTCCAAACGCAATTCTTGTGAAATTTCAAACACAACCCGAGAATTGTATCTGGAC